TAAGCTGAGGGAACGCCTGTCCTAAAAACAGACGCACAATGCTTGGTTGCTTTAGTGAGGTTTTGGCAAGTGTATCTCACCAGCTTTTTTTTTTTTTTCCTCGTCTTCCAGAAGAAACTACAGTGATGAGCTACCGTGCCCCGTGCGAGTGAGGTGAGAGTCCAACATCTCTTTTGTCATCGCAGGCATGGTCCTGAAGTGTATGGAGAGGGAGGGAGATGCGGGCAAGGGCCCTTGGTCAACTCACCAGACAGCAGGTTCAGGGTAGACAGTGATTAGTAAATAAGGGTGAGTTCTTGTATCCCAGTGGTTAAACTGAGGGAAAGGGAGAACTGATGTGGAAGGTTTGAGGTGCCAGCTCATGATAGAGTTGGAGGTATGCTACAGAAAACAAGGACTGCCTGTCCGAGTCCTACCACCAGGCCTGGCATTTTTGCATCAAATGTGCTTTCCTCAGGTCAACGCAGTTCCTTTTCCTCGCCTTTCCCTGCAATCCCACAGGCCTCCAGCCCTGTGCGTGCCACACACCATGTTCACCTTTACTGCAGGGCCTGACTCCTTTTCAGCGCCAAGCCTTTCACAGTCTCAGCCTGGTTTCTGCTCCATGCTAGGGAACTGCCCATACCCTTTCCAGGCTGGGCAAAGGCAAAGCTTGAACCTGACCAGTGCCTGCTCCTGTTCTAAACTTTGCTTGCATCTTTATGGTTCCTTGCCCGCAGCCCATGAGATGGAGACAAATAACTGCTTCGTGAATCCCCTGTGGGAGGCACACAGCCCTGCCCTGGGATGCCTGCCACAAGCCCCACACTCTTAGTGGAGTGTCTGCTGTAGGTTTTGTATGGGTAGAGCCAGAGGGAGCTCTGTCCTTGATGGCTTGGTAGTCCCGTTTGGTTGTGAGGTGCAAAACCCCCCCTGAGTTCCCAGTGGTTACTTTTAATACTTCAGGAACACAGATCTTTTTGTCCTTTGTTGTCTTCACAGGAACAGGGACAGACCCATCCTCTGCAGTCTCTGTCCGTCAGTCCTTTGTCACCCCTGTCAACAGCCACCATATGGAGATGAGAAGCAAAGAGAAAATACTTAAAAAAAAAGTTAGTTTCTGAAAGGCTCAGACTATGCCTGGCATCTTATTAAAAGTCAGGAGACTAGAACTGTCTGTTTGAGTGATTATTCTGGTTTACTATTTTTCTCCCAAACCAGGAAAATGGCATTTAAGAGCACCTGGGAAGAATAACTTCTTCACCTCTCCTCTGTGTGTGCATGTACATGTATATGTGCAAAACTCTGCCCTTCCAGTAGTGGACTTCCACAGGAGGAGGTACAGCACGCACCAAGGCAGAGTTGGTACCTGGGGGAGGTGACCGTCACACAAGCTGGAGCTGAAGGTGAGGGAGGGCTGGGATATGTTCAACAGTTCCTTTAGCCAACAGTTGCATTGAGAGACCTTTATCAAGGGGAACTGGCAAGGCTGTACTGTTGGGAGGGGTGAGGGACGACAGTCTCAATGTACTGCATTACTATCTGGAGATTACTTCAAAGAAGAGCTGATGGCACAGGAGGTTGCAGGAAGGGCACAGGGGATACAGCTGTCACAGCATGTTCGGTTGCATCTTGCACTCCAAAGCTGCCCAAATCCTACAGCAGGAAGTATTAGGAGAGACCATGGGAAACACGAGGAGAGAGCAATAGAGGACCTAGAAGGTTTGTACATTGGCAGTGGCAGAAATGGTATCTTCATGGGCTAAGCCTGGAGTTCAATAATTGGCACGATGGCAGCAAGGTCAGGGCAGTCATGCTTTAATTCTTCTTCCCAGGTGCATACCAGATATGTGACACACACCCCACCCCCTGTCCCAAGCCAGACCCTCACAGTGCACGCATAGCCGCTGGACTGTTGTGATCCCTCGGTCCATCCACTCAGGCCCAGGACCACGTGGACTCAACTTTAATGTGGGCTGTGTCCCAGCTGGGGCACGCACCTCCATTCAGTGCCCAACCTGAAGTATTGGGCAAAGGCAGAAGTCATGGTGTGGCAGTTCCTCTCCTCTCCTTTATCACAAATTTGGGAGCTCCTCCACCCCTTTCTGAGGAACCATTGTGGGGACGGAAACCAAGACAAACAAGGAGGGCATAATACAGTCCCTCCATGGCTACCATCAGGCTGTGGAAGGTGCCTTGTCTTGGCTAGTAGTGGGGATGGCTCTCTAGGCAGGTCCCTAGGGAGTGCTGTCTCTGTGGGATGGTGTCAGAATGCAGCATGTACCATGTCAAGATTCTATCTTTTCCTTCCAGAAGGGACTTCTCCAGATGTGTCCTGGCTTCAGGCTACTACTAACAAGCCACCCCCCTCTGGCAGTTGGGTGTGTCACCCCACAAGAGAAAATATTACATCTTCCTAGCTTCAGCTTGCTCCTTTGGCTCTCTGAATCCCCCTTTCCTGCCCTGCAATGAATATAGCAAGGGATGGAGGGAATGGAGCCTTGTCCGGGTCTGAGGGCCCTTGTTAGCACAGGCTGCTATAACTCCGCATTCTCAGTCCACGTGATGCTCAGCCCTTCCTTCCTCACTCTCATTTTGAGAGACACTGTCCCTCTCTCTGCCTTCCACCAGAGCCTTCCAGCTGCCTCCCTGGCTGCAAAAAAGCCCCCATCCTAGCTCCTCACACCTGGCCACAGGCAACTGCCAGTTCCTCTTTCTAGCTGGATATCTGCTCCCCACTGATTACCATCATCCTTCCCGTCTTTCATTGCTTACCTTCCCTCTCTCCCACCCAAGACCCATCATTTCCTGATGTCACTGTTTGTGTCACGCAGGGACTTGCTGCCTACCTCAACTACAGACAGCACTGTAGTCAGCCAAGGCTCGCTCCTCTGCAAAAGGAAGTGAGGAAGTCGATTACGGACACTTGCATGTACAGAGAGAAGAGTGCACAACAACTTTTCCCAGCCAGAGAACCAGGAACCCAGCTCCCAGCCTCCCAGGGTAGGAGAGAATCGGCAACCCACCTGGCTGGTAGTAATCATAGACTTTGATGCTGGCTGGTTTCAGGTTCTTCATCTGAATTACTCGTTCCAGTTGCAGTATGAAAGTCTGAGATTCATCGTTGAGCTTGTGGAGGTGGAAAGAAATTAGTGAGGAAGGGGAGAAAGCAGTAATTGCATCTTCATCTTCGCTAGCTTGAATGTTTTCCTGCGCTAGATTTCTCTAATCCATTAGAGCATCTGGGTTTTAGAAATGGAGTACGTGTGAGGAATAGTAAATGCTAACCCACTGACAATGAAATTGGGCAAGCTTCCTCTCCCCACAATTGTACCCGTTTTCTTTCCCCACGCATGCCTAGCCCAGGCTTGGGCTTCTCACACAGCTCCTTGTCCTCTCGCCTCTTGCTCTCGCTGTGCCAAACCAATTGGTTTTGTTCCCGCTTACCTTTTCCAGATAAATGTAGACCACATCAGCTTTCACTTCTGTTTTCTTAACAATGGTTCTGCGCTCCAGCTGGGATAGGAAACAATAACACAAGGAAATTTGTGAGCACTTTCCTTAGGGCTTCCTGACCTGACGGACCCGCTATTGTATCAAAAGGATGATGCAGAGCAAGACTCTGTGTAGAACTGCATCTTTCTCATGCATAAGGGTTTTAGGTTTTATATCTTTGGTAGTCCCTCCTGGACATGCCTTGTGGGCATCTCAGGGATGAACTATGCTGTCCCTGCTCAGTTAGAGGAATCTCCCACTCTGGGGACAAAAGGCTGTGTGGATAGTACACAGGACCGATGCGTTGGTCAGCAAGCAAGTGCAGGCATCAGTAAAGATTCTTATCTCATCTCATTGACTGCTAGACTGCTCTTAAAGACCTGCCTGGGGCTGTGCAAATAATCAATCTTTCCGTTTTAAGGCTTAAAATGGAAAAAAAAAAAATCTTTTTGGCTAGAACTAGAGTCTGTCCAAGAAATCTTGTCTTTGAATTTCTGGGAAACAAATCCTGGTGTTTAGCACACCCAGCAGCGTATTTTGTTCCTGGCCCGAGGCAGAATAGCACCAGTGGGGGAAGCTGAACCACCTCTGATCTCCCATAGCCGACTCTTGTGGGCCCTGTATTGAAATGAGAGGTTTTGGTTCAATTACAACAGAAAAGGGCCCCTGCTAATTTACTTACCTCCTGGCCTGAAATGAACAGTTCCCAACAGGAGCGAGTAGGTGGGACCCGTTCACCACAGCTGCTTTTTTTTTTTAATTCCAAAGTCCTTACCGACATCCTGGATCGGGGAGCCAGGATGAATCCGGACAGCAGGGACACCTCCACGATCACCATGTTGGATGTGACTCTGCTCCCGATGTAGCTGAAGAAGAAGAAACAGTCAGAGGATCCGACTCCGTGAGAATAGTGCCCTCCCAACCCCTTTTCCCTCCACCACCATACCCTGTGTGCAGGACCCTGAGCTAGGTAGCCCATCCATGACTGAGGACATGGCAGCCACGGCTCCCTCTTGCAGGAGGTAGCCAGCACCTTTCTTCCCCAACTCTACCACCTACCAAATTCACTCTCTGTCCTGTCCACCTCAAGTGCCGGGTCCCTCCATTGCAGCCCTGAGACTTTTCCCGGCTGCTATCCCCAAGCACAGCGGGTCTTGCTGGAGGAGGAAACAACCCTTGGGGTCACCTGGTAAGGATGCGGACGGTGAGGACACGCGCGTTGGCCTGGCTACAGTTGGTCAGCTCTGTGTTGACACGCAGGGTGAAGGTTACAGCAGCGCGTGGCAGAGGCTCGTGGTACCTCAGCACTGTCTGCAGGGTGAGGGCCAGGAGGGAAAAAGACAAGTTAGGCATGATCTCATGCAGGGAGAAAAGCTGGAGTCCTCCACCTCTTCTGTCCCCCATGCTCGTCCCACCTGAGCGAAGATGCAGCTGCTGCCGTGGACCTGCACCAGGAACTGCCCCGGGACCTCTGTCAGTGCTGCCTGCTGCACCAGCAGCCGCTTCTGGTGATTGACTTGGAAAACCTTCCCGAAACCCTTCTGGGACTTCACCCTCACAAGTGCCTGGCCTGATGTGCTGAACGTCCTTGCTGCGTATTTTGCTAAGGCTTGCAAGGCAACCACTGTGTCCTAGAGAGGGAGAGACAGTCACCCCTCTGAAAGCATCGCCTCTCGTGAAGTCGACTTGGAGCAGGAAAACCTCAAGAGGACTTGCCCTGCCAACCTCAGGTGCAAAAGTATATCAATACACAGGGAGCTACTTCTTACCTGGGTGGAGGCAAAGCCCCCATAGGCGTTTTGCTGCCGGGTCAGCCATGCCACGATACCAGCGGCAATTGTCATGTCACCCGCATGCACCCGTGGCTTAGAGAGGTAGGCCAGGAGCACATAGGCTGTCAACTCTATGTCCACTGACTGAGTACCAGGCCAGAAGTCTGTGGAAGCTGGAGAGCTTGGCTTGGGGCTCCAGTGGATTTGTCCTCCTGCAGAAGGACAAGAAGCATGCAGGCTATCTGGAGAGGACATAATTGGGGGTTCACAGGAAATGAAACCCCGATTGCTTTCAGGGCTCCTTCAACTCATTCCCTGTACTGAGGCCAGGATCGCCTTCTTCAATTTATTCTCCAGGGCTTCATCTGGTCTTAGCTCACAGATTCCTACCTCCTCCTTCAAGAGGATCTTGACATCCTCCAGGCTGGGGAAACTCTTTCTGATAAGTCACCCTCACAGCTTGTGAGATAACTTATTGTATTTTCAGTCACACAGTGCTGTCACTGCTCAAATACAAAGAATATGTACAAATACATGTGTCATTTTTAACGGCTCCAGCTGGGCATACATTACTCCAGGTGCCAGCAGCTGAACAAGAAGCATTAGCCCGACTAGCAGCCAGCACCTGATTTGATGGCCTGTTCCTCCAGCTTGTACAGCAGCTCTTGGGTTGTCTCATAGTCTCCAGCCAGGGCAAAGGCATAGGCCAGCACGGCTTCCGTGTAGATGTTGGTGATGTTGTGAACTGCCTGCTGCAGGCAGCGGAGGGTAGTCTGCATCAGCTTGCCCTGCATTTGGAGAAGAGACACATGACAAACTCTGACAGGGGCAAAACAGGGGGCAAGGGAGCTTATTCCAGGGAGCTGGACTGTCTCTTCCTGATGCAGTCCCATTAAATTACACGTTGTCTTGAGATTGTGCACTGGGAGCCATAGCCACCAAACACTACCGCACCACGCCAGTTTTACAGCACTGTCTCTTTTGAGGAATAACTTCACAGTTTGGCCAAACATTGGCTCCGTCCAAGGAACTCCCTACCTGTTCCTGGCCTGGAGAATGCCAGCATTACAAGCTGATGTATCCCCATAGCAGTGCCCAGGCATGGGAGCGTACAGGAGAGCAGGAGGGAGGAGGAGTGTGCTCACCTTCAGCGGCTGACCCAGCTCCAGCAGTGCTGCGGCAACGTACGCTCCCAGGGAGATTTCATCATCCACGCCGCCCTGTGAAGGGAATACACCTTTCACTCTCTAAGTGGTGTTTGGAGGGCACAGGCAGTGACTCCGCTGAAAGGAAAAGCGTTCCTTTCGTGTTCTCCACCCCACACTCTGCACTCTTTAAGGCTGGTTGCAGGAGTGACTTTCCAGGATCCTTTCGGATCCCACTCTCTTTTGCTGTCACAATATCTGTCCAGCCATTCCCCAGCTGTGCTGCCTGGTTTGGCCTTCATTTACCTTTAGGGAGGAGTGAAAAAGACTCCCTTTAGTGGTAAAACAGCCTCTGGGAAGCTGGTTTTGCTCTAGCCAGCGTAGGGCATCCTGGATGTTCTTGTCATCTACATAGATGTATTTTCTGGCTTGGCCGAAACTCTTGACTACAAAAGCTGTCAGCCTAGGAAGAGGATGACTCGTGAGAGAAAGAGAAATACCAAAAAAGCAAAAAGAAGGTCAAAGGCCTTCTGGTGCTTGTCCCTGAAGTTAACAGTTACGTAGTAAATTACATAGTAAAAAAAAGAGTAATTTTCACACAGAAAGGCAACCTAAAAATGGAAATGGCCCACAGGGTCCAAGTGGCTCTTCTCCCTCAGTCTAGCTCCACAAATGTACTACTCGTGTATTTCTGCTTTACCCAGTCGTTTCACTGGTGAAAAACCTCTTACCCCTTTTGTTTTTAGCTGTTGCGCTTCATCTCCCCCAAATACCTAGAGACGATCTTGAATCCCCCATTTTCTTCCTCCCTTCCTTTTTCCATTTCTCCCAGCCCAGACACCACAGGGTCAAGCTGGGCCAGTGCAGCTCTTTCAAACTCTCCCAAGCAATACCCTCCCTGGGGAGACGATTTTTTTTATTGCTCTTCCCCGATCTACCTCCAGTCAGTATATAACCCTCTTGGGTGCCAGGACATCACCGGCAGTAGCTGGTGTTGTCTGTGGGGTAACAGCAGGGCCATAGAGACAAAAAGGGACCTCTGGACACTTGAGGCCACATCTTTGGTGCTCCACTTTCCCAGAAACTCTGCTGCCCTGCCTCACTGTTTTTTTAGGTGGCTCAAGTCCCTCAACCTGTCTCCCTGCCCGAGAGTTCCTGGGGTCTCCATCCAAAAGAAGGAACACACATCCTATCAGCTTTCCCAGGCACATTAGCAGCTCTGGCCCAGACAGGTAAAATCAGGAGTGAGGGATATTTGCAGTGCTTACCACGTGTTCCCTTCCCCATCCTGCTGCCCAAAGACACTGTAGGACCCATCTCTGTGCCTATAAAGAAGCTGTGTCTGGTACCCTGGGGAAATGGGAGTAGTGGTTAATACAGCACAGTAACGCAGAAGGGCCAACATTGACGGAGTTGGGGGCAAGAGCTATTACTAGGTTGGGTGCTGGGGAAGGCAGAGGAGCAAGGCGGGTCGGTTGTACTTGCCATTGCGCAGGAATCCTGTTGCCCTCTCCTTGATCTCAGGGGTCAGCTGCCTCGTCTTCTCCAGGTACTGCAGCACATAGACAATGGGGGCAAAGAGCACCATGTTCTGCTCCCCACAGCCATGGGGCATCTGCACCAGATGGTCCAGGTTCTGCAGTGCCATCCCCATGAGGTCACCTACGCAAGAGGGTAAGAAAGCAAGCAAGTGTGTAAGTATGATTTGAGGTGCTTCTCAGCCAGGCAGTAGATAATACTGCTTTATCTCCAGAAAACACTGGAGAGAGAAGGAAGGAGTAAACAACAGAGTGCAGGACAGAGAGTGGTGAGTGTTTTGCCTCTTCCCAGTCTGGCATCGTGATGCAGTGTGACCACACTATGGAGGAACTTTCCTGCAAAATCAGCTTTTGCAGTCTGAAGGGCTCCAACCGTAACAAGTACTATTTGTAAAAGGCTATGAGCAGAGCTGCTCAGTGCGTCTGTCATACAGACAGACAAATATAAAAGCACTTAGGGAAAGGTTGAGATGTTTCTGGTCTTTACCCAGCCCTGTTCTACCTGGCCGTATGTCAAGCATCAAAATGTCAGTAAGCCAGCAAGGGTGCTAGTCAGATGGTGTGAGGGTGTCCATATGTCCTCCAGCCAGCCAGAAAAGATTTGTATTCAGTTTCCTCTTTTGGAGTTCTGTTGCCTAATATCCATGGCTACGTATGCCAGGCCTGGCCTGACACCAATTCTGGCATGGGGGCAAACGAGCCCAGTGCAAGGAAGTGTATTGAATGGTAGGTATGATGTCGGGTCCCAGTTGCCTCTCCAAAGTGTTCTTTTGCAACTTAGTAATGCCGAGAAGGATTTCTTCTTTCCAAGAGCTTCTGCTGTAGCAGCGAAACTTAACAGGGAGACAAGATGGTTATGAGCTTTGCTGATTGTATCTAGACAGAACTAGCCATGGTCCCAAAGTCCCGGTAAAAATAATGGCCTAGCATCTCTGCTCCAAAGTCCTAGCTAGAAAAATAAGAATTACTCTCCTCTGTAGATTACTTTTCCCACAAAAACCTAAGCGCCAATCCAAAAACCTGAAAGCCTGGTGTTGGCAAACCTTGCAGAGAATAGAAACACAGCGTCCTTTCTTTAGAGCAGTTTCATGTCAAATGGATCCCCGACACCATCACCAAGTTAAGCCTTACTCATCTGTAACAGCAGTCAGCAAGCCCACAACAGAAATCACTTACCTGAGATGGAAATGGAAGCCCTGGCAGATCCCTTTACTACATTGTCAGGGAGGCGAAGAGACACAGGTTCTTCAGCCATGTTTCCTGATAACAACAGGACAAAGGCACACACAAAAAATCCAGTCAAATGCGTCTAACCAGAAGAAGTGGCAGAGATCAATGGGACTCTGCCTACATCCCGCTCACACAGGCTGCTCTGTACAGCCTGCCCCAGTCATCACACCAAGCCCCATTGCCTGGGAACTTCTCAGATTAGAAGAGATGTGAGAGAGCTGCCGGCCAGGCTGGGGGCCTACCAGGCATCACAACTCAATTTACACTTCACGAGACTGGCAAGAATCGCGGTTGGTCATCACTCAGCAGGGGGACTTGCTGGAGAGAATTGCAATGGTGGGACAGGGTAGAAGGGCTGGAGCAGCTCTCATGGTGACTATCAAG